CCTACAATTCATCCCTGTTGGAATGAAAAAGAATAGAGTTGCTTTGTCTGTTGGTTTTGAATCCTTCATGGAGGGCTGCCAGCAACTGTTAACTTGTATATTATTGTGCTATCAGACAGGAGAAACATCAGTGAGAATTTACCAGCACAGTCACAAGCCCTTCATCACACGGTGATAAAGTTCGGTGGTAGTTACTCACCTCTCCTAAAACAAATATCACCCACTCAGAGAATAATGGATTTTTGCAAGATGGTGTTACATTGGCTCATGCTATTGCACCTAATTCCCAATTACCACTAAATTCAAGTGCCCAGTGCACTTTGAAGTACTGATTGTCAGAGCACTCCTGTGAGCAAGGAGGGACTGAGATCTGTCCTTGTTTCATGGATTAGAGACAGAGCTGTAAGGCTGTGGTTAGACTGAGCAATGGAAATGCATTGCCATGAGCTTGGGCCCCTGAATCTCTGACTCATTCAATTCAACCTGTCCAGAGAAGATTCCCTCTACCAACATGATTGTGTTTCCTCCCCACAGAAAGCCCAAAGAGACTGACAAGAAATGGAGTCAGATCTCTTCCCTGTGGGGCTGGGATACATACAGGCTGCTGCTCAAGGCACTTGATTTAGTCATACCTAGAAGAATTAAAGCTCCATTTCCAAAGCACTGGAAGTTACCTAATTTCTGCATATTTTTATGTGAGTTCTAACTGCTTATTTGTCTTTGAGACCTGGAGTCTGTATCATAGCTTAACCAGCTAATTTGCTGAGGTGCTTTGGAGGGATGCACCTCAACTACCTAAGTACATGGCATTCTTGATAAACAGGTGATTGTGTGTCTTATTTGTCTTCTTTATCCCTCAGGAAGATGAAGTTGCACGTGACAGTCGATTCAATTTCAGTGGCTATGGTATGGGTCACTGCCTCCAAGTCAAAGATGGCACAGCAGTTAAGGCTACTCCACCCAACCCACCTCCTGCACCACCAAAGGATTCAGATTCCATCAAAAAGAAGTTTGTTGACCGTGCAAAAAGGATTGATACAATATCCCGTGCTGCATTCCCACTCGCGTTCCTCATTTTCAACATCTTTTACTGGATTACATACAAAATTATACGGCATGAGGACATTCACAAGAAATAAGCAACTCTGGTTCGCCAGGACTTCTTAGCCAAAGTGATCCACATGTAAATAAACAATGAGATGTCTTTCTGTCATTTGGACTAAGAATTTCTTCCCCCCTCCCCCAGAACACTGGAGAAAAAATTAGCAAAGGGGAAAAGAAGCAGAGAAGAAGTGATTGCATGACAAAATATGCCATGAGACCAGTCAATGAGGTTCCCTGTATGTACCCTCAATGTTGTTCGTCCAGATTCAGCATTGACCAGACATCTGTAATTGGGGCCAAATTTTACCCAGCTTTATCACCAAGATATTATCAAAAGAGAATCAGAAAACAAGCAATTCTCCTAAAACATCTACCAAGAGACTGTGGTGGCTACAGTACAGTGAGTTATAAGAGGACCAAACATTTTCAGGATAATGTTGCCTTTCTATTTGAAACAAGTCTACTGAGCTACATTCCATGACCATGTCTGTAGGTAGTGGTTTCACCAAGGAGTCCTTTTGTGGGTTGTAAATTATTTCTACTGATAGGGGAGAGGGAAAAAAAAATAAAAGGAAAAAAAAAGGATTTATACTTTACTATCCTTGTGGGTGTGCATTTTAATATCTTGCTTTACTAGAATTGTAATTTCAGGGTTGAACTTGTGTCATGTGATTTATTTGATAGTTGACACTCCTAAAGCAGTGAAACTGCCCAGTTTATTTTCGTTGGGAGACAGTGCACTTATTTCATTTTATTTCTGCTGATTTTACATGCAACTTGAGGTGCCAAACTGTATTTTACCTATTGTGCTACCCTGTACCACACTACTTAGTAAGAACTTGTTTCCTCAAAGGTGTAGCTCAGTTTAGCATTGAGTTTCTATTACCGCTCTCATTGTAGCTGCAGTCAATAGCTCTATAGGTAAACACAACTTGTTTACAGACCTCTAATTTATATCTTTACTCAAAGTGGCTATCATTTTAAATATCATTAATTAACCTAAGAATTTTAAAACTGTACTGTGATTTTCAGAACCTGTTACCTTTTGGTGCCGGATCTGCGTTATTCAAATCCTTGCTACATGTTTTAAAGTAGAAAATGAAAAAAAAAAAAAAAAGAAAAAAAAAGGAGGTATTTTTGCTTACACGGAAGAAGAAGACAACCTGTAACATAAGATGAGTCAAACATTAAAATTTTACACTTGCTGTAAAAGGATTTATTAAAAAAAGGTATTTGTTCAATTTCAATAAAGCTAAATGTGGTACTAACATTTCTTCATTCTTTTCTTCATTTGCAGCAGCAGCAGCAGGGCTGTTCTCACCACAGTCCAGCTCTTCCACCACTGTCAGCAGAAAGAGAGTGAAAAGCAGCCTTCTGCTGACCTGGCTTAGCACGTCAATTTTTGCTATCTATACTGCAGCAAAGGGGCTAGTGCAGCCTCTGGGAATACATCAAGGACTGTGTCAGAAATGTGGGTAGGATACGATGGGAGCATTGCAGAACATTTGCATCTGCTGAGCCAGGCCTGGGGGAGGAGGGGAGGAGGCACTCCACTCACTGCTCACAGCATCCCTGCACAGCAAGAAGCACACCTCAGTTTAACACATGCTGTGCCTTGCTTAGGGGAATCCTAGACTTTCTCCTTTCTTAAAGGTTTGCCACTTTGGTGAGCTGAAGGACATGCTGAGATGTCCTATGCCAGGAGCCTTTTATAGACATGGTAATGACCAATAGTTTTAAAGCAAATGAAACTGCACTCAGTTTGTTGCCTTTCCCTTGAGAAGCCAATATATACACCCTGTAGCTGCCTAGTACAGACATTTTTTCCCCACTCCCCTATTGAGATGCAGTACAGAGACATACTCTACCTGCAGCACTTCTCACTCCACTCCTGCACCAGCTTCTGCTGAGAGTTTGTGCATAGAGGTTCACCAGCCTGTCTGAACTTGTACTTGTGTGTCTGTGTCCCTGTCTTTCTCCACATGTCTGTCTGTAACTACTAGGCTTCATTCCTCTCCCTGGAGAGGAGCGGGAATCTAGAGATCTTGACAACTCTGATTCCCAAACAGTTACATAAATTGATAGTAAAAAGCCAGTTGTGCATTTTATCTCCCCTTCTCAGCTCTGTGGACTCTCCTGTCCCTTATACCTGTGTCAGAACTGGCAACAGTCACTTTCATCTTCTTGAGACCATGGACCCAGATGTGACTGACAGCCCCAGAAAGGGGAACCAGTGAGAACTCAAGACAACTGTCCAAATTATTCTGCTTTGCAAAACTACTTTTTGTTCCAAATTTTAGTATCATAATATTTATAATTTTCATAGTATGAGGTTTGCTTTTATTCCTTTCTAAAGTGGACCAGTATTTGGTTAATGGATAATGTAGGAGATGAAAACCCTAGCACAATCTTAGTCCTATGAGCTCCAGTACGGTGAGGATACTCAGCTGCAAACTGTTTGTATGGGAAGTTAGGAGCCTTCACTGGTGCATAAACATTCAGAGCTCACTTTTACCAGCCCCTTGTTCCAGAAACTCTGCTTTAAATGAAGGTGTAATGCCAGGATTAACGTTAATCCTCAGTGCCCAGAGGCGTTGCTAATGAATGTCAGAGCCTATTGCTCAGCATCCCCTTATTACTGCAGACACTGCAATAGGAATGCAGAATTTTCTCAGCTGATGGATGTCTGTATCTGCCTTTCTGTGGTGAAGCTCATGTACCTCCAGAATCCACAGCACAAATTCAACTGCATGCTTGGCAGTGCTTCGCGATTACATTGACTAAATAGAATCATAGAGTCATAGAATCATCAAGGTTGGAGGAGATTTCCATTGTCCATTGAGTCCAACCATGAGCCAGCTATCTGCTGTACATAGTTCTCTAAAATTCTCTACTGATCAGATTTGTGGTTGACAGTATCCATGGGAAGACTTCTTTGCTGTTGCCTTGTATATAAACTTTGGTCCAGTTATGAGAATAATCTGTGCACAAAATCTGAGCAGGTCTCTTTCTCTCTCTTGGAGACAGAATTTAAGGCTACATGGCAATTAGTCAATTAGTTGTGAATCTTGAGATTATCTAACTAAAATTTGGACTCAAACGATGCATGCAAATGAACAAGGCCCACCAAGCACAGCAGTTAGGAATAGCCACATGACACAGAAGAGCTCTCAGCATGCTGGTTAGTGGCCTGTGAGCCACCTCACACAGGGGTGATTTGGTTTGATCAAAGAACCATCCCTCAGACAACATGACCAGCACCAGAAATATGTATACTGGCTGAGAAACTGCCTGCAGATAAAACACCAAATATCAAGGGCAGCAGGACTTACAGAAGGACACAACTTTCCTAAACAAATTCTCAGGAGGGTTAGCAGAGCAACAAGACTCAAAAAACGGTCACCTTGCTCCCAGGGAAGCAGCAGAATGAAATAGTGAAGCAGTTTCATTTCAAGACACCATTGCAAGAGGAAAAGAATGGCTTAGAAAATAAGTCCCGAACAAATAGCCTTTGTGAAGCAGGAGACACAGTGGGATGGAAGGAAAGAGACCTGGGATTAATTCTGAAGAGCTTCCAGACATATTGGAAAACCTGCTATGTTACAATTCTAGCTGGTAAAATAAAATTAAGCCCTAGGGCATTGAAATGACTTTCATTTAGCTGTAAAACAATTATAATGACTTCTAATTTATCAAAAAAAAGCTTAAAAAGCTTTAAGCATGTCTTTAAAGGATGCAACACCAGGTCAGGTCATTGGCACCCTGTTGTTACAGGGATCTGAGTGGTTCAGTACTCAAGGAGAAAGGTTTAGCAATCTCTTACCAGACAGATGCTGTAAGGTACTGCAATAAAGACTAATTGATAAAACATATCTTTAAGAAAAACTTTATTGCATTGGTAGAAAAGTGAAAATAATAACAAAAACCAGTGCAATATGAGATGAGATCTCTCTTTGTTGCTCTTTCCTGGTTTTTTCTCCATACTTTTTTAGGTGGCAGAGCCATCATTCATGAAGTACCAAATCATAGGTGATAGGTGGTGTAGCAATAGAGTATCCAATATGAGACAGCAGCAATTCATTACTGCTGAAGGACAGCTCCAGGAAACACAGTGTCTCCAGGGTCAGATTATTTCAAGTGCTACAGAGGTGAGGAGTAAGGGAGAACCTTATCCACAGACACTGAGACTTTCTCACTTTGATTTCCTTCTTTCCCAGCATGAGATGCTGAAGGCAATAGGAAAGAGCTGATGGAAAAATAATGTTGGTCTACTGCAGGCTGAACTGCTAGCACTCTTCACCTCTGTGCAAACCTGTCATTGATAGTGGTGGGAAAGGAGCTGCTGACCAAGCAGGAGACACCAGCCATAACTTACAGCCTTTAGTAGCTGACATTATGGAAAACGTTGTGGAGGAATCTGGAACTAATCTTTGAGATTAAAGGCATGGGCATTTCCTGGGAAGGGCTCTCACTGGGCTTAACTTTGGCTCTGCAACAGGATTTTGCATCTGCACCTGGAAGCCACATTTCACAAACTTATTCAAAAGATCTGACTCAGTTAAATGACATTTCTGTATTCAGAAATATATTTCTAAATACAGAAAGAAATATATCTGATGTGTAGGTGTAAAAAGTATATGCACAGCTTTCTAATCCTTATTCCTTTAAAATTAGAACACATCAAGGAACAAAGAAACAAAAGCTTTGTACAAAGAATGAGCTTTGTATTACACAAAGTAGTATGAAAATTATTTTATTTAATCTATTCATTTTCAGTATCTATAATATAGTATTTCATTATCTATAATATAGTATCTGTGGAAAATTACTTTCTGCCAGACTTTGAAAGAAGTTTATTCTAATGCTTTTTGACATAGAATTTTGTGCCTTACAATGTTTTGGAAAACTAGAAAACCAAACCCAAGGCTGCCAAGAGGAACTTCTGCCTGGGAAATAATCTGAGCAATGACACACTTCATCCATAAATGCCCCTTACATATTTTACATTCAAAATTAATCTTCTCTAGTTTAGCAG